ATAGCACATCACCTCATGGTCCATCATTGCCCCAAACAATCTTCAGATTAGTTTGCAATTGTGTATGCTTTTGTAACATATGAAACATTTAAGCAAGGTTAAAAAAGTGCTCTTCCCTTTTTCAGGCTTTTGAAAAGCTGGATTTTTTACATTTGAACTCTGCCTCATCTACAGCATGACGTTTGTCTCAGTTACGTATTTTTACGGCCACTCCAGATTTGGCATCACATGCAAAAACTTGGAGCCAGTATTGTATAGGCTCCTGAACAAGGTGAGCAGTTCTTACTATATGTACAGACTGTATTCATTATATTTGGATATGCTGCACTATATTTTTGCACTCTGTGTTTTCCACAGGGCCAGATTAAGAGCCCGGTGGGCCTGGAGCTGACAATTATGATGGGCCTAATTTCAGAATCCTATCGACCAAAAACAACCATACCTCCTGATGGAGATGGTGTTGGAGGGAAAGGATGCAGCTATACGAAAACACATACACTATGCTAATTTCTCTCTAATTTATGCTTTAATCTTTCAAGTAAATCCATACCCCATAATAGCAGTGTCCAGTAAAGTAGGAAGTCAATGGGCAGGGCAAAAGGGTGTGCCACTGACGCGAATTGCATTTGTTCTGGTAAGTAGAATCATTCCCTTCAGGCTTTTTGCATTAAACACGGTCTTTTCAGAGAAAATAACTCCACTAGCCACTCCTTAGATGGCTGCTAGAGGTGCTTCCTGGGGCAGTACTGCCTAGTGTGCAGCACTGCCATTCAGTGTCTCCACCCTCTGCATACAGACATTGAACTTTCCTCATAGAGATGCATTGATTCAATTTATCTTTATGAGGAGATGCTGATTGGTAAGGGCTATGTTTGACTGGTGCTGGCTCTGTCCTTGATCTGCCTAGTTGACAGTCTCAGCCAATCTTATGGGGAAGCATTGTAATTTGCTCAGACCACCACTTCTGATGATGTCAGTTCAGGGGCAGAGCCAGCATCTGCAGACTTGAATACAAGTAAGATTTTACTATATTTAGGAAAGCAAGAGGCGGTGAGGGGTGCTAGATGGTGGTGTGACGAAACCAATCTCGCCACATTGCATTGGAGAAGCCTGGTTGCTCGCCTGCTGCCTTTGGACTATGGCCCCTTTGTAAAAGACTTTATTTTTGCAGGCAGAAAAGCTGTATTCGTGCTTTTCTGCCGGTTGTTCGGTAGTTTCAATCTACCGAACAACCGTACGAATGACTGGACCACCTGGGAGCTGGAGTGTGCCGGCAATTAACCTCCCTGAAGCTGCGGTTAACCGCAGCTTAATTGATGAACGCTGGGTGGCCGCCGTTCGTATCCCGAACACGAGGTCGCAGCCATTTTAAACCATACGAATGAACAGCGGTGTTCGCCTCTATTTTCATGGAACTAAAATCGGACACAGTTTTGCGCGAACACCGCTGAAGCCGCCGACCTCCCTTCTTGTTCGGTGAAAGCACACGAATGACCCGGTGTTCGGTATTTTTATGTGAATTTCTTATACCCCAGATAGGAATCCCATGGAGCCCATTCGTATGAAACTGACTGTAAAGACTTTGGCTCCATGGCGATTAAACTGTATTCGTGTGGTCTGAGCGCCATTCACTTAATAATGTGCGCTCAGACCTGAGCTATCTGGGGATATGTGAAATGTCTGTGTTTTATGTATAAAAGGTGACTTTATGTATTTTAAAGTGTTTTGTGTCTTTTTGCAACCATGTGCTTAATGGAGTCTTGTGTCTGTCCTGGGAGATAATTGAATTACTTATCTCCAGGATAGAAGACTCTGAAACTGGTTTGGGCCAGAAAGCCATGCTTCATTTAGTCACAAAGGACTTTTTACTAACTTTTGAACCCCTTGTCTGATTTGTGCCATTTTTGAATATGTTGTTCCCCTGAATGGATTGATTGAGAATATGTAATTTTATGTGAATGTGATGTATGGTTTTGGAGTTATGAAAGTTGGGTAGAAAGTATGTTTTAACTGTTTGTATAATTGAGTTTCCTCTCAGGATAAGGGGAGGGAATATGTGGGATGTAACTGTGATATGATTGGTTGTTTTATCCCTCCCTGTGGGTGGTCCTGTATTTGAAACACTGTAATAAAAACCAGGCTGGGTGTGCCAGCACCTCAGACCACTGCTTGACCCTCAACACAGAGCCTTGTATCGTTCTTGGGGGGATTCACTGTATGCTGTTGGAGACTGATTGCCAGGAGTGTAAGCCGCTTGGGAGCTTTTCCTGTTCGTCTGCTGGCAGCTATTCGTGAGGTTCCAGTTCGGGAGTTGGAGTGCTATTTTGTATCCAGTTTGGGAGTTTGGTGTTCTGCAGTAGCTGTGCCTGTATCTCTGGAAAGGGGGCTGATCGCCTAAACGGTTTTTACCCCTTGTGTGCAAAACGGTCCGTTACAGGTGGTTTTTACATAATAGGGTCAGAAATACATGATTGTGTTCCTGACCCTATAGTGTTCTTTTAAGCAAGAGTATGTGAAGAGTAGTTAGGGTTGCCACCTTTCTTGGAAAACAATACCAGCTTTAATCATTTGTATAATTAATTACTTATACGTGACATCACATGATGTAAATCACAAGGAGTGACATAACAGAAAATTCTGTATAATCACCAACAAATTACTCAATTTGATTCTGCTGTATAGATGAATTGCTCCCAGTGTCTCCCTGTCTCCCAGTGTCTCAGTCTCGCAAGTCACCCTGTGTCTCAGTGTCAGTGTCCCTATGTCACCCAGTCCCATAGTCTCCCAGTGTCCCCATTTCTCAATGTGTCCCCATGCCACTAGGATAATAGTGGACACTGGGAACATGGGGACACAGAGACCCGGGGACACTGGGTGAAATTGGGGCACTTGTGAATACAGACATGGGGACACTGGGAGACATGGAGACACAGGGAGACATGGGGACACTGGGACACAGAGACATGGGGACACTGAAACATTTGGGGACACTAAGACACTAGGGACATTGAGAGACATGAGAACACAGACACTGGGAGACTATGGGACACTGGGAGACTAGGGGACACTTGTGGACATAGACATGGGGACACTGGGAGACATGGGGACACAGACATTTGGGGACACTGAGAGACATGGGGACACAGACACCTGGAGACTTGAGGACACTGGCTGGCAGACATGGGGACACTGAGAGACATGGGGACTCAGACACTGTGAGACTAGGGGAAACTGGGAACCATGTGACCACTGAGCCACTAGGGACACTGGCTGGGGGACATGGGGACACTGGGAGACATGATGCCTTTCACCCCATCCCTCACTTAACTGAGCTGCTGTCTGGACTCTCTGTGCTGTGTAGCTGCTCCCCCACAGATCAGTGAGTAGTAGAGACAGGCAGGGATATTCTGTAACTTCCTATCTCTGCCATTCTCCACACTCTACTGGCCGGTGCTGGTATTGCAGAGTAATCTCCGTTTATACTGAGAAAAACACCTGCATTTGTATTGCCGGTATTACTGCAATACTGCATAGCTAGGCAGCCTCAAATACCGGCTGTGCCAATAAAATACCAGTCAGGTGGCAAACCTAAGAGGTGGTGTGTTAAAAAAAAAAAAAAAAAATGTAAAAAAGTAAAAAAGATTTTTTTTTTTTTTTTTTAAATGGGCCTATTCCATGGGCCTGGGCCTGGAGCTGCAGCTCCATGAGCCCCTATGTTAATCCGGCCCTGGTTTTCCACTCTGCATATATTCCATCGGAGTTCTTAAAGGGATACACAGTAGAGGGTTGCTGTTGCCACCATAAAGGCACAAAAAGCCTGCACGTTCAGAGCCAAAGCGTTCAAAAGGCTCTTTAATTGTGAGCATTTCCGATTTTTTTTCTGTGATATTCTCTTAATCAATATTTCACTATTAAATATTTTCCTGACTATTATATATTTTCCTGTTTCATTTTGCATATATGAAACCACCCATGCTGTATAACCCTATGGGTAAGCTTTGTCTTGTCTGCATGCAAACGTCTTTTTCATTAGCGCTGCACTATACACTGTTGTGTTTTATGGAAGGGAGATTGAAATCACCTAAACACTGAAAAAAGCACTGTGTATTGTTCACTGTATGAAACAGACATTGCCAACAGTCTTTCAGTCTTTCTCCCCCTAGACTTGTCATGCTTATTTAGACTCTCCATGAAAAATCTGGCATCACTATTCCAAAAACTTTGGAGTGAATTATAATTGCTCATTTACCTCATATGGTTTTTTTTTTTTTTTTTTTTACATTCTTTATTTTTCATTGTGCATGAGGTAACAGAACATTTGACAATGGCACAACAGCATATAAAACACATGTATAACACAGTTTGTCACAAATATGGCATGAAAGTAACGGCACGTTTTTAAATGTATTTTTATCAGGCTAGGCAAACACGTCCATTTATGGTTCTCAGCAATTTAAAATGATATACAGATCTATGCTTGCAAGACGTGGTGAACATGTTAGATTTAATTATTGAGTGTCATATGGGTAGGGCACAGGGTAGGGGCATTAGTTTGCATCACCAAATCAGTGTAGCGATGATGGGTTAATCGATGTCTCGTTAAGCTAAAGGTCGGAGGCTTCCGATTGTTTATGAAACATTTATTACTGCAGTGAGCCGGCATGTACAAGTGTGAGGCATTGCCCAATGTGTATCTGGCAGCGTGTTAGATCCAGGGAGATTAGGAGATCAAAGGGCTGAGATATAGCATGGGTGGTGAGAGTGTCTACACCTGTTATGTAGAGTAAACATTTAGTATGGTGCTGTAATCTATCCAGGGGTATGTACACTCGAGCGCCAGTTAATGCGGAGGTGAGAGATAATAGGTATTAGCTGGGGTACATGGTAAGTTTCATGGGCCAAATAAACCGATACTGCTATCTAAGGTTTATAGGATTTATGATCGGCTGGTAGGCATAGGCGTGCGCAGCCTATTGCATTAGGGTGTGCACCCAAAAGCACAAACACACGCCGCGTGTATATGTATGTGTGTGTGTGTGTATATATATATATATATATATATATATATATATATACACACACGCACACACATATACATACACTGCTGTGTGTGTGTGCTGCGTGAGGGTGGTTTGAGGGTGTTGTGTGTGTAAGGTTGCTGTTAGTGTGATGTGTGTGTGAGGATGCTGTTTGTGTGTGAGGGTGTTTGTGTGTGTGTGTTTGTTAGGGTCCTGTTAGTGTGCTGTGTGTGTTTGTGAGGGTGCTGTGTGTGAGAGGATGCTGTGTGTGAGAGGATGCTGTGTGTGAGAGGGTGCTGTATGTGAGAGAGTGCTGTGTGTGAGAGGGTGCTGTGTGTGTGGTGTATGTGTATGAAGGTGCTGTATGTGTGTGGTGTATGTATATGAAGGTGCTGTATGTGTGTGTTGTATGTGTGTGAGGGTGCTGTATGTGTGTGTGTGCTGTGTGAGGGTGCTGTATGTGTGTGTGTGCTGTGTGTGGGTGCTGTATGTGTGTGCTGTATGTGTGTGTGTGCTGTTTGTGTGTGTGTGCTGTTCGTGTGAAGGTGCTGTGTGTGTGGTTTATAGTGGGAGTGGGGTATAGTGACACAAAGGGTTAAAGTAGGGGAATTAAATAGTTTGTTACAGAAGGGTTTATTGAGTGCTTGGTAGGTCATTTTTGACAGGTGCAGGAACGGAGTCATGGGGTGGGGGATGAGAAACCTGCTGACAGTTTAATTGATACACTTTAATGAAGAAGTGAGTTTTCAAAGATTTTTTTGAAGGAATGGAGGCTGGGTGAAAGTCTGATTGAGGAGGGAAGGGAGTTCCACAGAATAGGTGCAGCCCTGGAGAAGTCTTGAAGGCGAGTATCAGAGGTGGGGATCCGGGCAGAGGATAGGCGTAGGTCTTGGGCTGAGCGCAGGGGTCTCGACAGGACATACTTGTGTATGAGGGAGGATAGGTATGTTGGAGCAGCATTATGTAGGGATTTGTAAGCAAGCGCCAGAATTTTGAATTGGGCCCTATATCTAACTGGAAGCCAATGCAGGGACTGGCAGAGCGTGGAGGCGTGGGAGGTGTGACCGGACAGGAAAATAAGCCTCGCAGCCGTATTCATTATAGATTGCAGCAGTGCAAGCTGGGAACATGTAAGACCGGTGAGAAGGGGATTGCAATAGTCAAGGCGAGAGAGAACAACAGCATGAACCAGTACCTTGGCCGCGTCCGGCGTTAGATATGGGCGGATGCGCGCTATGTTCTTGAGTTGGAAGCGACAGGATTTGGCTATCGATTGAACATGGGGAGTAAAAGAGAGATCAGAATCAAAAAGAACCCCTAGGCAGTGAGCCTGGGAGGTAGAGGTGATAGCAGCGCCGTTGACTTGGATGGAGACAGACACAGGAGTAGCAGCACTTGAGGGAGGAAAAACTAGAAGTTCTGTTTTGGACAGGTTGAGTTTAAGGAAGTGAGCAGCCATCCACTTGGAAATAGTAGAGAGGCAGTCAGAAACACGAGTCAAGGTGGGCGGAGAGAGATCAGGGGAGGACAGGTAGATTTGCATGTCATCTGCATATAAATGGTATTGGACGCCAAAAGAGCTGATGAGTTTACCAAGGGAGGCAGTATAGATAGAGAACAGTAGGGGGCCGAGGACAGAACCTTGGGGGACGCCGACAGGGAGGGGTTGGGGAGAAGAGGCAGAGCCAGAGAAAGAAACACTGAAGGAGCGCTGGGAGAGGTAGGAGGAGCACCAGGAGAGAGCAGTATCCCGTAGACCAAAGTTACGGAGAATGTGAAGAAGCTGTTGATGATCAACAGTGTCAAAGGCGGCAGAAAGATCAAGGAGGATTAGGATAGAGTATTGGCCGCGAGATTTAGCATCAATTAAATCATTGGATACTTTGTATATAATAAAACATGTACACAATCACAGGTGAAAACATAAGGCAGACTTAGTGGAGACACAAATGCCACAATAAATAAATATATAGCACAGCGTTACAATGATAGCAAAATGTAACAAGTCACTTTGGTCAAAACCAAACACTGTAGAAATATGTTGGAACCAAGGATTACCAGAGATTAGAGTCCTGAACCAGCTATTGATGGGCAATGCTGTATGAGCCACTGCCAAAAAACAAGAAACTCCAGTGTCCTTCAAATAAGATGCAAGATATTAAGATAGATCCAATGGTATAGTGTGAAATGACTACTTCAGTGCCGCAGAGGTATGTATTGAATATCTTCAAGGTGACCAAAATCACCAGCGTTCTAGTCGGACTCTGCTGGCTAATAAGAAATATCAACAGGAATAGCATTGCTTTCAATGCACATACACGCGTTTTGTTTCATAGAACTTAAGAAAACTGTATATATATATATATATATATAGCAAAAAGGAAAGAGATGCACTCTCAGGTCTTTATAGAAAAAAACTCGATATTATTTAATAACAGGTAACATACATCTGATCGACGTTTCGACCTCTTCAGGTCTTCCTCAAGATGATCTTGAGGAAGACCTGAAGAGGTCGAAACGTCGATCAGATGTATGTTACCTGTTATTAAATAATATCGAGTTTTTTTCTACAAAGACCTGAGAGTGCATCTCTTTCCTTTTTGCTTTACATATCCAGCGTGGGATTGCACCAAGGCAGTCTTTTACTGATTCATTGATATGGTGAGTGCCACTATACTTGTATGTATGTATATATATATATATATATATATATATATATATATATATATTTCAAGTAGAGATTGTAGCCGTATTAGTCCAGTGATGCAGATGTAAAGAACAGATACAATTTGTATCTTGAAATACCTTTTTATTGGACTAACAGAATTTTAGTGTTGTCACGGGTAAAACCTCCTTAAAACAAAGACTAATCCTTGACCTGTCAGCACCCCACACCATAGCTATTCCTAGTCTTAACTCACTGATCCCTTCAGATGAGCTTTCTCTATAGTATGCCACCATTAACAATCCCATTACAGCTATCATTAAAGTGGGGGTAGGAGAATGGCTAAGCAAGACAGATATAGTCAACGCTTTTAAACTACTACCTATACATCCCACACTTTGGCACCTACACAGTATTAAATGGAAAGGCTGGTACTATTTTTTTCTCATGCTTAACTCTTGGGTCAAAGAGTAGCCCAAAATTTTTTGAAATTTTTGCAGAGACACTATGTTGGCTAATCCTAAACATAAACAGATGCCCCACAGTCATCCATTTCTTAGATGACTTTTTGATGATCGAAGAGAACACCCTTCCCCCAAGTTGCCTCAAGGAAGCCATCAGCATTTTTAACCAATTAGGGATTCCAGTATCTCCTAAGAAAACTAGAGGCCCGGACACTATCATTAACTTCCAAGTCATTTAATTAGATTCCATTTCCATGCAGGCAAGCTTACCGCAGGACAAAATAGGGAACATACTCTCATGCATTAATCAATATCTTCTTTTAGGTTCCTGCAATCGTAAAGAATTACAATCCCTATTAGGCTCCTTAAATTTTGCAATGCAAATTATTCCCCAAGGGCGTGCTTTCATATCTAGATTGCTTTGTCTTGTCCTACATTTTTTCAGTGACGACAGTTGACTTACTCTAGATACCCAAGCCACAGCAGACCTACTTATGTGGCAGAATTTCCTAATCACATGGAATGGAAGGAACATGTTCCTCCCAGAATTGTCGGAGAATTCCCCTACCATTTGGTCATACGCGGCGTCTACCATGGGCTTTGCAGCCATCTATGGGAATGAATGGCTTTGGGGTAGCTGGCCTGCGGAAGTGCAGATATTGGAAGGTTTTTCCACTACTTCAACCCTATTCGTGATTTACCCCATTGTAGCGGCTGCTGTGACTTGGGGTCATTCGTGGTCAGGTTATTCGGTCCGTTGTTACTCAGATAACCAAGCCACTTGCCACATTATTAACAAAAGCCGCTCATCATCTTTAACGATCATGAAATTTAGCGGCTTGTCACCAATTTTTCTTAGTATGCATTCATGTACCATGAGTCTGTAATATTGCAGCTGACAGTTTGTCTCGATTTAAATTCCAGGCATTTCACCGCCGCCTCGTTTCAGAATCGAATCATGGATTAAATATCCTTTTGCAACACAGTCAGGAATTATCAAAACTGGCGATCTCGGCCAACACACAAAGAATCTACTATAGAGCTTTTGTGTGCTTTTGTGTTATGTAAAAGATTCCTCTTTTATTTACAGGCTTACCGCATCATCAGTTCCGGCACACCACAACCGAATTGTATACTAATTTACACCTATACTTGTCTCTTACACCATATACGGCTTTATGCCCCTAACACACACACACATATATATATATATGTATATATATGTATATATATACATACACATTATAAATATCTACAGTCATGGGAAAAAGAAAGTACAAGCTTCTATCTAGTCTAGTGATTATGCATTAAATGTTCATACTAATAGCAACATATCTTACATTAAAGAAGAGTACACGAGCAGAGTCTAAGTCTAGAGTTCATTAGTCATTTCCCTGGTGTCCTTCCACTCAGTGTTAAACTGCCTTTAACCCCTTAAGGACCAAACTTCTGGAATAAAAGGGAATCATGACATGTCACACATGTCATGTGTCCTTAAGGGGTTAATGTTCTTTTCAAATGTTTTATTGAAAGTTTTAAATATGATAATAAACCAAACAACAACAATAATAATAATAATAACAACATCAAACAAGGAAAATGGGTAAACATACAAATACTATTAATCATCCAATACTATTTAAAAATGAAATATAATAAATAATTTAAAGAAATTGTACAATAAGAAGATTAACTTTAACATTATTAGTGCCTTATTTAGCAACCATAATGCAGTGCAAAGTGAATTAACAATACAAATATGTTACCAAATATGTATATTTTGTGACCGGCTGGGGGGAAAGAACTAAATATGATATTGACACCTAATATCTTCTTCCCAAATCATCCAATCAAGTTGTAAGGTGGTATTTGCATCCAATGGCAATCTTGTAGCTAGCTCACAATGTTTTCCAGTGTGGTGGGATTGCAGAAGTAGCAGAAATAAGCAGATGACCCAACATTACTCTTTG